AGCTTGGGTACCGAGCTGGAGCAGGAGCTCAGTGCACGTGGGACCCCCACCAGCCACCTGAGTTCTGTGGCACCAGGACCACTGCAGAGTGTGTGTGAGCTGCCTTGCTCTGGACTCCAGCTTAGTGCCTTCTGTGGCTGCAGACAGCCACTCTCGGAGGAGGATTTACTTTCAGGGTTGCAGGTGTGGTGGCATCTGTGGTCGCTGCTGCTGCTCTCCTCACAGATGTGTAGTGCAGAAGTTGTGTTGCATGTCGGGTGTGGGTTTTGCTGCGATGGTAGGTCCCACACTCCTGTGTCTACACTGGGCCTTGTGGCTGTTTTGTGCTATGGCTGCAGCTCAGCTCCCAGCACTCTATGGCTGTTGCGACTAGCCATGAAAATCTTCAGCTGTTCTGGGAGGTGAGTGGGATGCCCACCCTTGCCTTGACACCTTCCTTGCTGGTTCCAGCTCTATACCTTATGTGGCCTGGTTCACCCTGAATCTGGCTCTTTTTCTTCCCTCACTGTGCCTACTCCTGCCCTACTCTCCTGGATGAGTGGGACCCCTGCCCATTCTGGCTGCCCACCTCCAGCTGCCCTACTGGATGACCTTGTCTGATCTGCTCTGACATTTCAGCTGGTGACCCTGGATGGCACATGCCTGGGGTAGATTGAGGACCTGAGGTGGCTGAGGAAAGAGGATGGCAACAGTAGTGTCATTCCTAATCATAGGAGATACAGTACACTGTGTGTGTGTGGGGGGAGGCAGAGAGAGAGAGAGAGAGAGAGAGAGAGAGAGAGAGAGAGAGAGAGAGAGAGAAAGAGAAAGAGAGAGAAAGAACGAACCAGAGACAGAATACAGTGTGTGTGATCCATGATACACTGCAGTGTATGTGTGTGTGTGTGCACACGCATGCACAAGATTCTAGATACAGTGTTTGGGTGAGTGGATGGTGGTTCTGGACACAATGTGGTGAACTTCTGAGTGTACCTGGTCCTCTGATGGTCCTTAGTAGACAGGAGCATGGGGACAGTAGGGACAGTGGTCTCTCCGGTCTGGTGTCTACCTGGCTCCATGAGGTCAGTTTGGGCCTGTGGTGCTCTGAGATGTCCTGCAGTGGTGACATCTCTTGGAACTTTCCCTGTACACTGATACTCTAGTCTGATAAAGGGGGCTTGACTTTGGTTTCACAGTTGACCTAGATGCCTGAATTCCTCCAGAAGTACCAGTTGTTCTTAACTTGAGTGTTTAAACATAAGACTATCTGAGTCTAAAATTCAGAATGGCTGGAAATTCAGAATCGCCTTTCCTACATCATGATTGAGCCCAGCCTAGCTGCAGGTAGGCAGCACAGTATCTGGAGCTTTGACACTAGCCCAGAGTGAGGCCATTCCCATGATCCATCTTCAGGAAAGACAGGAGTAGTGGCAGTTTATGGCAATGTCAAAGAGAGCCTTGGGGGAGTTACCCTCCCTCCCTTCCTCCGTCCTGGGTTACCCCAGCCAGCAGTACCCTGATGTCAACATTAACCCATAAGTAGGAAACTTCTAGGGTGTGGCCATTGTGGCAGGGTGTGGACTTAGGGCTCTGTGCAGCCATCTGCATTCACCCTCCCCCCTTTTTGTGGTAATAGAAATTGAATCAGGGAGCAGAGAACTACATTCCCAGCACTTTTTCTTTTGCTAAATTGCCTAGATTGGCCTTGAATTTGTGATTCTTCTACCTGAGCCTTCCAAGGGGCTAGGATTACAATTGTGCACCAACACTCCTGGCTCATACATTAACCTCTTTATTACTTATACCAGGAAGTGCAGCAGCATGCCCATGACAATAAGTGGTAAGTGTACCCTCCCACCCACTTATCCTCAGGGAGACCTTTCGTGCTCTCAGCAGATGCCTGTAGCTAAACTGTGCACAGCCTATTCCCATTCATCCAGGCCTGTGGAAAGAGTGAAGGTCTTAGTCACTGTCCTCATCACCTGGACACAGTATCCCACATCCACAGCTTAAGGGAGGAGAGGTTTATTTCGGCTCATGTCTCAGTCAGTGAGCTCTGAATTAAATTTTAAAATTATTTATTCATATAACATAAATATATATATATATTATATAAGCATTAATTATATTTATTATAATAGTTATGCAGCTCAGACTCATAGTAATTCTTCTGTGTCAGCCTCCCTAGTACGGGGATTACAGGTGTGTGCCACCACACCTGTTTCAGTGGCTGGCACAGTATGTGGTACCATACTGAGATCGAACCTGGGTCCTTGTGCTTGCCAGGCAGGTACTTAGACCACAGAGCTATCTCCCTTACCCCAGCTGGCTCTAAATTAAAAACAGCATGGTTGGTGGAGGAGAGGAAGAAGATAGTGAAGGGAAGAGCCAGGAAGAGAGAGATGCCCTTCCCGGCCATGCCCCAGTGACTATCTGTAACTCCAAGTCAGCTGTGAGCCCCCATGACTCAGCAACCACCCAAATGTCCCACTCATGAACATGTGAGACTCTTGGAGGAATTTCACAAATAAATTATAACAGCTAATATATAAATTAGGCACAGGAAGAGATTAATATTAACTCATGGAATACAGCAGTTATGACAACAAATAAAACTGGTCTGTCAGTACGGTTGCACTTCACAGCATTGTTAAAATAAGGGCTGCTGAGCCCAGGCATTGTGGTACTGCAGTGGTTGGCCCCATACCTCACAGCTGCTGAGTACAAACAGTCGGTCATGTGTGCAGTGTGTGCACACTGGCTTCGATGACTTATGCCCAGCAGCATGGGTCAGGGCTGCCTGGGATCTGTTTGCACTGCTCACGATGGAGCATAATTTGAAGCTTGAGAATTATTTATTTCTGGATTTTTCCATTTAATATTTTCAGACATCAACTGACTGTGGGTAACTGAATCTGTGGGAAGAGGAACCTCAAGTGAGGGTTGCTGCGAACTACAGGCCCGGTTTCCACGGCCCATGAACTTCGATGTCACTGGTGTGAAAACTGTCTCTCCTATTTAGCCTAATAGAGACTTGGTGTCTGGTCTGAGTGGCTTGCTTCGTGGCTGCTGGCTTTAGTTGAATGGCTGGCAGTCTCAGAACATAGTTTCCACTGTGGTCCCAGTGTCTATCCTGTGGGTTATTGTTCAATTCCGGGGTGAGGCATGTTGATGATATGCACTGTTACCATGCAGGTTCTACATGTGTCAGAGTCTGAATTCAGACTTCGTGGTGGGATCCTGCTAGCAGGTCACCCTGCTGAGCCATGTGGACTGCTAAATATGCATGCTAGAGTTTCACAGCTCTGGTGACCTCTCATTGCCTGGAAGGTCTCAGAATAACATGGAAGACTAGTACCAAACACCTGGTTTATTGACATTATGGTTTCTTTTGGAGTGGGCACAGCACCAGATCCATGCTTGTTGATGCCTTCCCAGCAGATGTTGAGCACAGACCTCTGCCCAAGTTGGGGTTCTCTGGCCTGGCCTGACAGGTAGAAAGTGGAATCTGTGGGTCCTCCACCAGCTCTTGAGGACACCCCATGCTGGGGGAATCTGTAGTCATAGGGCTGCCTTGATGGCTTAGCTGAATTTATGATAGATTGTCTCTTGCCAGTGGCATCTCACACCCAGCTCTCAGTTTAACTTCTCAGTGTTGCTTTAGTTTTGTATTGCATTTTTATGATAGTTCAGATTATTTAAAGCTAGGTCTGCCATGCCCTTCCCCCAGACAGCCCAAGCAGAGATTACAGGCGCAGAGGAATGTTAAACCATGGGATGCAAATCTGGACTTTCAGGAAATGCTAGTTTCTTTGTATACATTTCTTTTCTTTTTTTTTTTTTTTAATTTATTTATTTTATTTATGTGTGTGTGTGTGGCCAGCTCAGCCCACCAGGGGGCGGGGCTGGCTGGCATGTGGTGCTGGGGGATTGAACCGCGGTCCCTGTG